TCTGGGTTAACATGGATGCTGTAACCAAAGAACCTTCCATCCTTCCTTCACTTGGGAGTAAAGAGGGAATACTTCATGTACCCACTATATCCACTGCCATAGAGATAATTCTGATTCGTAGTGGCCCTACACAACAGACTAGAACTGTTCTTAGGATTTCTGAGACTGTAAATCTTTATGGGGACAGACAGCTTTATCTTTCTCCTACATAGTGGTTGGTGGGTTTGAAGCAACTATTGATCTTGCGGTTAGCAGTTTAATGATTAACTCTCTATGGCAGGAAGCCTAGGGAAATTACTCCCTAATAGAAAGCCTGGATATATATATATTTTTTTATCATTCAACAATGATCAATGATATAAAGTTGGTATATTTCAGTTATGTTAGTAAGAAATCAAGATTTGGGATTTATACTCCCTTCTTAACTATACAATTCTTATAATTTTATTTGTGGACCTTTGTAAAGAATTCATTATTAGTACTAGCAGTAATGTTGCTGTTGTTAAGTGCTGTCAAGTTGGTTCCAACTCACACGGACCCTGTATAGGGTTTCCGAGGACCAGCTGGTGAGTTTCAACTTCCGACCATGTGGTTCAAACCAACCTTGCAGTTTAGTGCTTATCCTACAGAGCCACACCAGGACTCTTTTTTAGGATAGAAGTTGTATCTTAAATAGCTAAAGGCTTACTGCAAAACAAATTCTGAATGCTAATTTCAGTTTTTGTAAAAGTGAAGTTCTCTTCGGATTTCTTTGTTGTTGTTGTTAGGTGCCATTGAGTCAGTACCAAGTCATAGGAACTCTATGCACAACAGAACTAAACAATGCCCGCTCCTGGGCCAACCTCACAATTATTGCCATGTTGGAGCCCACTGATGCTGTCACTTTGCCAATCCATCTCGCTATGGGTCTTCCTCTTTTTCCCTGACCTTCCACCTTACAAAATACGATATTCTTCTCCAGTGACTGGTCCCTCCTGACAAAATGCCCAAAGTATGAGGAACGGAGTCTGACCATCCTGGCCTCCAAGGAGCAATCTGACTGTACCTCTTCCAACACAGATTTGTTTGTTTTTTTGGCAGCCCATAGCACTTTCAACCATACCTAAAATGCATCAATTCTTCTATGATCTTCCTTATCCACTGTCCAACTCTGGCATGCATATGAGGTTACTGAAAAACCATGGCTTGGGTCAGGCGTACCTTAGTCCTCAAGCTGACATCTTTGCTCTTCAACACTTTTTTTTTTTTTTACAACTCACTTAGATTTATTTCACACACACTGCAGTAACATCTTTATACAAAGAAGCCACCCAACAACAAAAACTCTAGAACCTTTGGCTCTGGAAACCAGTTGTAGGGTGGCTAGCTAAAGGACTTCAG